CCGCCCCATCAGACACAGGTACCTCCCGAAACTTCCATGTCCGGTGAGGACCTGCGTCAGGCGGTAGGTGAGGACGCCGTAGCGTCTCTCAAGCCACTCCTCAAAGAGGGGACTTACCGCTGCGATGGCAGCGAGCCCAGCCCTCGGTTGCGACAGTCGTTGCTGCCATTCCGCCATGAGATCGCGCCGGAGCTCATCCCGCCACGCACTTATCTGGCGCGGCAGCGGAGTTTCGCCCCGGCGACGTGCCTCCGCGCGCATGCTGTGCACGCGCGCGAGCACCTTCGCCTCCAGATCCCACGGCGGTAATCCGGCAAGGAGGTTCGCCGACTCCCCAGAGATCGTGCGGTATCCGCGGATCATTCGGATCGCCATGACCCTCTGTGCCATGAGCAGCGTCCGAGCGGGACGCCGCAACAGGTTAGGCGCCCAAACAGGGGCGCCGTAGAGGGCCATGGACCGCACGACCCCGGCGTATAACCTCCGGTCGCTTGAGGTCTGAGGTCCAGTTGTACCTACCTATGGTGTACCGCGAACAGGCCGCGGCTGATAAGCTGGCTTTAATTGTTGATTGATGGGTCATGGGAACAAGGCTGAAATTTGTTTAAGAAAATGTATTTTTATTTCACTAAGAAATAAGATATTTAATATCATGAAAAAATCTGACCGACAACAAGTAGGTGTCTGCTTTATTTTGAAAGTAAATAAGCCCTACTGTTTTTATTCCCTATACATTTTCTAAACTTCACAATCAAGCAAAAGGTTACATCATGTCGCCACGCTTTTTATTCGCCAAATGCACAGGTAGGTGTCTACTTCGCACACGCGCACTCACCGGACACATTAAGTCCGTTCTTCTTCAACTGAAATTCTTAAAAAATAGAAAAAGACCAGGAACATTCCACCATGAACATAAACCGAAATCGTTCAACAAGACAGTTGACCTAAATAATATTTATTTAAATATATTATTATTAATGAATAGATCGGCTAAATATCTATGAAATTCTTCGAAGTCGACTCATTGCGGTTTGTATTCATTCCAGCTACAAGGTACAAATAAAGCTCCGTTTAAGGACAATAACACACAATTATAATTAACTCAATGTTAAATTCTTTAAACAACACTACTTAATACCTAAGTTACTTGCATGGCGCCTGGCTTGTTAATAAATCCAACTTTTGACAACAATTGAGGTAAGGTAAAACGACTTGTCCAAGTATCAGCAATCGCTTTGGATGAGGGGAACGTTTAGTTTATCAATCCATGCCATTAAACCACCTAGTTGACAGTGAGGCAATGGAACCTAAATCCATCAGGTAAGTATGTGCAATTGTCCACCAGATGGTCACTCATTTCATTATGTTACTAAGAAAATGATGACATCATATTTACACAAAGGTCATCCAGCAGTTTTGATTTGCACGCATCTTGAATAATATATTCTATTCTCATAAACTCTAAGTAGGAATTAGTAAGGAATTGATATAAAATTAATTCCTTATCCTATGTGGACATTGCAGTATCTTTATAGATCTACACACCATGCAATGTGTTGTGCTTTAACAACACATTATTTTTGTTATTGTCGGCAAGGAATCTTATTTTTAAGAAAGTTTTACCAAACAGCTATCGCTGTTAATTTTAAAACTAGTTATTAAGGAGTGCGGCACATGTCTGACAGTCTGTAATATTAATAACTCCACTTAGATAAGGATAAAAGCAGCTAAAGTGACCATTAATCACTTTCTATGTCCATTTAGTTCGCGGATCCACACACGCGGGTGTAACAGAACCTGTTGAACTTGTATATTTGAAGATAAACAATGGTAGGTTTGTCGAGTTCGAATTCGATGAGTGTGTCTGCGATAATGGCATTAGGTAATACTTTTAACTTGAGAATTTATGAGTGTCATTAAATTATTCTTATTTTACCTTTATTAACTAAGAATTATCCTAATAATTTAATAATTCTAAACACCTATAAACGTTACAGGAATTTCTGCAATAATCTCCTTAAGAAGCTGAAAAATAATTACGACAGAACTGAGTTGGATAAAGCAGGCAAAAATAGCAAACAACTTTGGAAACATATTAAAAATGTCACCTTCATGACTAAGCAACGTGAATCAAATTCTAGTCTATTGTTAACTGATCCTTCACCTCTCTTGTCCGCAAACAAAGTAAATAACTTTTTTGTGAATGTTGGGAAAAATTTAGCCGAGAAAGTTCCGAAACATTGTATCCAAAAACTAAAAACCAACAGCACCCTAAAATCATTTTTTATGCTAGATACAGATGAGAACGAAATTACAAGTATCATATCTGGCCTAAAAAACGACTG